CCACTCCTGCCAAGAGTTTCAGCAGATTCCCAGATACCCTGAGGCACACCCAGACTCCAGATGTCATGCATTTTCCCTCCCCTTCTCAGGGCCACTTCCCTGACTAGTGCTTCGTGTGCCAACTCCAGGGGCTGTGGGGAATCCCTCTGTTAGCCGTGGCAGTAAAGAGCCGCTTGTACCTGGGGATGTGTAAAGATCTTTACACCCTCATCTGTCACTTGTAAGTTGTGTGTGACCTCAGTTTTCTCATCCATAAAATGAGGATACTAGCCCGGCCAGCGTGGCTCAGTGGTTGAGCATTGAACTATGAACCAGGAGGTCACTGGTTTGATCCCCAGTCAGGGCACATGCGCAGATTGGGGGCTCGATCCCCAGTAGGGAGCGTGCAGGAGGCAGCCAATCAATGATTCTCTCTCATCATTGATGTTTCTCTCTCCCTTCCTCTCTGAAATCAATAAAAATATCTATTTTAAAAAATCAGGATACTATTTCCTCTTTCATAGCATTGTGCTGAGGGTTACATGAAATGGTTGGTGAATGGGCCTATCGGACACTAATTCTGAGGAGGGCTTTTTATATATTAATCTTCTAAATTCATTGAATGCTTATGAGATAGCTATTATTATTATTATCATCCCGTTTTACAGATGAAAAAACTGAGGCACAGAGAGGTTAAGTGGCTTGCCTAAGATTACACAGCTAAGTGGTAGAGGCAGAATTCAAACTCAGACAGGCTTATTCCCTTTTCCTTCCCTTGCTGACCCTTTTAAGCTGGAGCAATCCTTCCTTCCTCTAAGTCCCCACGATGCCTCTATCATGGCACTTACACCTGTTTTACACATACTTGTAAGTATATCCGTCTCCCCACCTTGGACTGTGCTCCATGCAGACAGAGACTCCTGTTCTGGCTTGGGCCCAGAGCGGTAATGGGCTACAGGCAGAGGAGGGAGGCAGATAACCAAGCAGTGAAGAGTGAAACTCTGAGACCCAACAGCTCGCCTCCTGGCCTGAATCTTTTCTAGATGTGTGTATAGGCAAATCTGTTAACTCCTCTGAGCCTCAGCCTCCTCATCTGTAAAATGGGGATAATAAACACTCCCACCCTAGTGGGTGTGAAGATAGAACTGGCCAGTGTGTCTAAAGTGCTCAGGACAGTGCCTAATACGTATGAGCCGTGTCCACCATCCTGATGGTCCAGAAGCCTTGAGAGGCTGGGAGTCCGAGATGGTCTGACTGGAAGAGCTCCCTGGCTCATCTTTTATGGAGTCACAAGCCACTGCCTCTCCAACTTGGACAAAGCTGGAGGGGCCTGGCCTCCCACCCCACTGCGCAGAGGTCCCGGCCTGGCCCTCACCTCTGCCGTCATCTTGGCAATGAGGCCGGTGGAGATGGCCCCACTGAGCACGTTCCGCCGCAGCCCAGGGTTCCTGGGGTCCTTGAGGTTGCTGATTCGGCTGCGCACGCGGTTCCGGTACTTCATATCTGTGCTCTTGAGCTCCTGGTAGATATGTGACATGGTCAAGGGCCAGCGCAGCTGCTCATAGAGGGGAGGATGGGGAACCTCTCCTGGAAGCCTGAGGAGATCCAGGGCCATCTCTTCCTCTCCTTGGACTTGTTCAGGGTCGGGCACTTCTGTGGCATTTGAGGGAATTTCAGTAGTCATTTGGGGTCAGCCATGTGTCGGGGACAGAAAACAGCCTCTAAGGTTACAGCAAGCACTGTGGTGTCCGGGACTCCGGGAATGGGCAGCCCAGGTTTGTCTGAGCCTCTTGTATGACCTCAGGTGATTCACGTGACCTCTTTGTGCCGCACTTTCCTTATTTATAAAATACGGGGCTGTTATGAGGATTCAGCAATCAAAGCTGCATGATGCACTATTGTGGTGTCTGGGACATAGCAAGAGCTCAACATTTAGGGGCTGTTAAGAGGATAATGATGAAGGTTACCTCTAGTTACCTGAGGGTGTGAGTCCAGCTGGCAGAGAAAAACAAGATAGGAGCCACATGTTTCAGGCTCTAAGAATACTGCAATAAATCCATTGCTGAGCTTTGTTTGATCCAGTGCCCCCAGTTCTCTGTCATCATTCCCTGGAACCTACTTTGGGAATTGCTGGTCATTAATGGATGAGGAAGCTGAGGCTTAGGAAGAATGAAGGCTCTCACTCAAGGTCACAGGGCAAATTCCCGGCAGAGACAGGGCTGGATGCCAGAGCCCCTCCTAATGGTAATGCTCTCCGCTCAGCCAGCAGGAAGTTGCCACTGGCCATGAATCACAGTGACTGCTCTGTCCAGATGCTGTATCCCAGACAGGCCTCCCGCTCCCTCCTCTGGAGGGGCTCAGGGAACACAGCCCAGTGTTCTTGGTCTCCTCAGCCAAGGAGAGTCAGGAAGATGAGGCCTTTGCTGGGTAAAGCCAGAGACGAGACAGAGACTGCGGGGAATGTAGGAAAATGGAAACAGCTGACTTGCTTGGGAAGGACGGTGGTATTATTTCTGTTTTTGTTTTCATGTTGTTTGTACAATAAAAGTGTAAAAAGAAAGACTGTGCCATAATGCATTTGGAAGCCACAACGTATGTTTAAAAATCTGTGTTTGGGATGCCTGGAGGTGTGGATCTGCTCATGTGGGGACAGAAGGGCTGGCAGGACTGCCACCGGCTCCTTCCCGACTGTTTCCTGAGATCACAGGGGAGGACAAGGTAGAGCAGAGCGCGGACCTGGGTGTCACTGACCCCTCAAAGGAGCACATGTGAGCCCCACGGCTGCTATTTCGTCCAGGGTCACTCTGAAGAGGACACAGGGTCAATGTGGCTCTGATTTCCTCTCCTTCAGTGACCGACATTCAGGAGGAAGAAAACACAGAGGAAAGGCCAGCGGAACGAGGTACTAGATCACCCACCTTTGTTTCAAACTGGGAAGGGACCTGCTTGGAGGGACGACTGTTCCAGAGAAAACAAAGAGGATGCCCTAACCGGTTTGGCTCAGTGGAGAGAGCGTCGGCCTGCGGACTGAAGGGTCCCAGGTTCGATTCCGGTCAGGGGCATGTACCTGGGTTGCGGGCACATCCCCAGTAGGGGGCGTGCAAGAGGCAGCTGAATCGATGTTTCTCTCTCATCGATGTTTCTAACTCTGTATCCCTCTCCCTCTCCCTTCCTCTCTGTAAAAAATCAATAAAATACATATTTAAAAAAAAACAAAAACAAAAAACAAACAAACAAACAAAAAAAAAACAAAGAGGAAGCCCATGCTCCGAGTTCTGAGTGAGTGAGAAATTATGAGTATGCATTTGGTGAGATGCTGGGTAGCTCAAGGGTGGCTAATAATCAAATGATGGTGGAGAGAAACTCCCAGATGTGTTGGAGGATATTAGTTTGGGCCTCAGGCAGGAAGGAGATGGAAGCAGGCAAGTTTGTTGTCTGCAGATTGGCCCCCACCCCTCCCTAACCCCAGCTGGCTCCCCAGGGAAAGCCCAAGAGGGTCACTCAAAAGGGTCACTCATACCTCAGTGTGACACCCAGAGGCCCTCTCTCCTGGGGATGCTGTCCGCTTCCCTCCACACCTCTTGGACATGCAAAGCTTTGTCTCCAGTAAAGAAATCCCAGCATTCACTCAGTGGGGCACAGCGCCGAGGGATTTTTTTCCCTCCAAGAGGGAAATCTTTTGGTGCAATGGGCCCATATCACACAGGGAGGTGGTCACCTCCTTATGGAACGACCTCAGGATGTGGAATCCGAAGACCAAGGTTTTCAGTCCAGCTCTGACATCAGTAGTTCCTGAGCCTCAGTTTCCTCATCTGAGAAATGGGAACGACAGCCCCTGCTTCACAGAGATTGTTGTGAAAATTAATAGAGGTAGGAAGTGTCAGTTGCCCATCACAGGGCTTGGAACATATTGGGGAGTAAAAAATGGGAGCTGTTATCTTCAGCAGTTGGAAGAGGGGGGAGGGCTGAGTATGAGAAATGTGGTCCTTCTCTGTCTACTCACCTACTGGACGTCACACACTAGGCATGTTATGACATAGACTGTCTGGCACAGACACTGAGCCTTCAGGTTCTGGAATCACCCTTTCTGGGTTCCAGTCTCAACGATGTCACTACTGTTTGCTGTGTGAGCTTTGGCAAGTGGCTTAACCTCTCTGAGCCTCAGTTCCCTCACCTGAGAAACAGGATTGATGAGGAAACCTACCTCGTAGATTGTTCTCAACACTGAATGAAGTACTGCTCATACACAACTTGGTATGAGACGGGCAGGTGCAAGACTTAACAAATATTTGCTAGAATCAAGAACTCCGGTTCAGGGGCCGAGCAGGGGGCTGTCCGGAGTCCTTTCCCTCCCTGCTCACTGTCCTGGGTCCCCTGTACTTGGAAGACCTGCTGCTGGACGGTCCAGGCACCCACAGCCTTGGCAAAGCTCAAGGATATGATCTTCAATTTCTGATGCCATCTTGTCACAGTTGACTCCATAGTCCTTGTAATCATCTAAAAGAGATTGGGGAACACAGGCATCAGCCAGGCATGACCTTGGCAGTGAGGCCTGCTTGTACCAAGGACTACAGCATCCTGAACCCTCCCATGGCACTGAGAAAGGCCACACCTCATCTGCCCCTGGGAAGCCCTTCCCTCCCCATCCCCGGCCCAGGCCTTCTCACCATCCGCCTTCAAGGCCGCCGAGAGCATCTCCACACACTTGTCCCGGACAGAGTCCCCTGTGAGGTAGCAGGGTGCCAGGAGGCAGATGGAGGGGGCAAAGGTGGGGCTCGAGGGGCTGCTGGGCGTTTTGGGGGAGGTCTCCGCTTTCGATTTGCTGCTGTTTGATCTGAGGATGACAATCAGTAATCGACTTTCTGATGCGAAGCAAATAAAGCATTTATTGAGCAATGATCCCTTTAATCTCATAACAAGCCTACGAGGTAGGAACTATTCTAGGTACTTGATATGGATCATCTCATTTAATTCTCATAACTCCACGAGGTTGATACTATTCTTTTTTTTTTTTAATACTCAACTGAACTCAAACCATGACTAGCTACAGTACGAATATGAAGTTAACATGCAAACTGTTTTCTGTGGATTTTTAAAATATGTTTTTATTGATTTCAGAGAGAGGAAGGGAGAGGGAGAGATAGAAACATCAATGAGAGAGAACCATTGATCGGCCGCCTCCTGTACGCCCCCTACTGGGGATCAAGCTCGAAACCTGGGATCAAACCAGTGACCTCTTGGTTCATGGGTCAATGTTCAACCACTGAGCCACACTGGCTGGGCTACAGATGCATTTTAAATAATGATACTCAGGTCACACCTCTGGAAACCAGTAGGACCAGAATGAAAACCCAGGCAGTTGAACTCTGGTGCCCGGGCTCTTAACCTCCCACTGTGCTCTACTGGTTACAGAAGGGTGTAACAATGCCAAAAACTATATCCATTAGGGACTGCAAGAGCTCCTCTCTCTCTCTCTCCCTCTCTCTCAGCTCTCATTGAACCATTTACTCACTCATTCAATAAATAGTTCAATAAATATTAATGAGGCACCTATTCTCAGGTACTGTGCTGAGAACAAGGGATAAAGCGGACAAGGCAGAAAAGCTCCCTCCCTCAAGGAGCTTATGGTCTACTGACTAGTGAACGCACCACCATTTAAGAGCGCCGGCTCGTACCATGTACCAGGAACGGTGCTAGGCACTGGAGGAGCACTTTCTAATTTACTCCTCACAGTAGTCCTAGGAGGTAGATACTGTTGGCATCCCCATTTGAGGCCGAGGGAACAAACCGAGAGTTATATCACTTGAGATTTGAACTCAGGCCTGTCTGATTCCAACCCTAACACTCTTTTTTTTTTTTTTAAAAAAAAAAAGCATGTTTTATTGATTTTGGAGAGAAAGAGAGGAAGGGCAAGGGAGAGAGAGGGAGCTGCCTCCTGCATGCCCCCTACTGGGGATCGAGCCTGAACCTGCCCTGATTGAGAACTGCACAAGCGACCTCTGGGTGCATGGGTCGATGCCCAACCAACGTAGCCACACCAGCCAGGGCCTAACCCTAACACTCTTAACTCCTATGATACACTGCCTAAGAATGATCCCATTTTGTTTTTGGCTTAAAAAAAACTCCACACAAATAAATAAATAAATAAATAAGTAAATAAATAATAAAATACAATACTGAACTGTGTGGCTTAAACAACAGAAATTTATTTCTCACAGTTCCAGGGACTGGGAAGTCCAAGATCAAGGTGCTGGTCAGTTTAGTTTCATGTGAGGGCTCTCCTTCCTGGCTTGTAGTTGGCCACCTTCTCACTGTATCCTTACATGGCAGGGAGAGAGAGCGAGTGAGCTCTCAGATCTCCTCCCATAAGGACACTACTCCTATTGGATCTGCTTCACCCATATGACCTCTTTTAACCTTAATTACCTCCATAAAGGCCCTACTTCCAAATTCAGTCACATTGAGCTTCAACATGTGAATTTCAGGAAGGAGGAGTAGATAACATTCAGACCAGAACACCATATTAGTAACAATGATCTCTCTGAGATGGGATTATAGGAGATTTTCCTTTTCTTCTTTTGCTTATATATGTCTTCTAAATCTACGAGAAATATGTCTACTTTAATAATGAGAAACACTTTTTAAAAAAACATTTGACAATTATGAGCGGTAACTGTGCTGATGGCTCAGACAGGCTTCCTGTCTTCCTGTTATTAAGGAGCTGCCAGCAGCCCTAGCCGGTTTGGCTCAGTGGATAGAGCGTCTGCCTGTGGACTGAAGGGTCCCAGGTTTGATTCCAGTTAAGGGCACATGCCCAGGTTGTGGGCTCGATCCCTAGTTGGGGGCATGCAGGAGGCAGTCAATCAATGATTCTCTCTCATCATTGATGTTTCTATCTCCCTCTCCCTTTCTCTCTGAAATCAATAAAAGTGTATTTAAAAATATATATATATAGCCCTGGCTGGTTTGGCTCGGTGGATAGAGCGTCGGCTTGTGGACTGAAGGGTCTCAGGTTCGATTTC